TATATAATATACGTTATAGGATGTAAAATATTTCGGCAACGTATTATTAATAACAAGATATTTGGTCTTGGTAACATATAGCGTGCCATTGTTTACATATTACGGCCATGTTATCATTCGCAAGGCGGCATTCGAGCATTGAAGTAGTGGTACGAAACGCTTCGTATATTGTCGAACTCTTTTTCTAAACGCAATCCTGACTAATTTTGAAGCATAATTCGCATGATTATTACAAAATTAACAATTAATTAATCCTCAGTGATAAATCTTTATCGAAGCGTGCATACAATTATTCCGCAATTGGGAGAGCCGTGCAAAGTGTCCCGCGATCATCACGTATTCGACTAACCGTAATTAACCGTGTTTTCGCGAGTAAGTGTAAGTGATACGTGGATACAGCAAAGGAACGAAAGAGGAAAAAGAACTTCGGAAAAGTATCAGTCGACGAAGCAACGGTAAGTAATTTATATTTGTATTTAACATTTTATATCCATTTGGCACACTTTTGCTTTGTTAATCAGTACCAATAATTATAAAATCTCAATTTGAGAGATTGTAAAACCTCCTTAAACTTTCCCCAAAAATCGTAGGCTAGAAAAATATCGATATATAACGGCTAAATAAGAAATCCAGATCAAAATGTACCGAAAAGTGTTTTTTCGGCTATCGACGGTTATTTCAAAACCTATGGAGCAAATTACAATCATTTTGATCTCATTTGAAAGATAATTTGATTCTCTACAACATTTGTTTCGGTACTTTTTGTTAAAAACCGCATACTTTTCCTGATATTTGTAAAAATGTATCAAATAACGGTGATTTCAGAGGTTTTTGGGGGCTAACTCTTTAAGGAAGCATTTTTCGACCCATGTTTATCGGAAACNNTGATTTCAGAGGTTTTTGGGCGCTAACTTTTTAAGGAAGCATTTTTCGACCCATGTTTATTGGAAACTTTTTGTTCCGTATTAAATTATCTTTCATATGAGGTCAAAATGATTGTAGTTTGCTCCATAGGTTTTGAAATAAACCAGTTAATAACCAATTTCAAATGTACGTAAGATATTTAATAGGCTTTCGATGGTTATTTCAAAACCTATGGAGCAAACTACAATCATTTTGATCTCATTTGAAAGATAATTTAATTCTCTACGCCTTTTGTTTCGGTACTTTTTGTTTAAAAACGCATACTTTTCCTGATATTTGTAAAAATATATAAAATAACCATGATTTCAGAGGTTTTTGGGCGCTAACTCTTTAAGGAAGCATTTTTCGAACCATGTTTATAAGAAACTTTTTGTTCGGAATTAAATT